CAGGGGTTGACATGCAAGCTCGACTAGTTTGTTCACTTGCTCGTTCACTTTATTCACCTGCAGTGCTGGTTCACATAGTTCACTTGCTAATTCCCCTCGTTCACTTATTGTGCTTACGTACACGAAATTAGTCATAGAAGAAACCGTTACGGAACCCACGACATGGCAGACAGACGCGGGCCAATGGCAACATGCCTCTTACATAGAGCGGTTTTTATTTGAGTGCCGAAAATAATGTGCATTTGCTTTTGCTTTGCACTACTTCGCTAAGCGATTGGCTTAAAAAGTTCACGCCAACACCATAGCTGTCAACAGGCAGGGGTAATTTGTGGGGTGGTAAATGCCTATAATATCAACTCAAGGCTTCCCGATAGGCATACCGGGGTCAATTATTATCAATTATTCGGTATGGAAACTACAGCACAACAAGCCTCGTCTTAGTCAAGACCTCTTCTAGTGCACAATTTGGCTAAACTACAGAATACAGGGCCGCTTTTAATCATCCACCAAAAGAGCCGGCTCGTTTGGCTCGTTTGTTCCTTTGTCATCCACTGCCGAGCCAAATTAAACGAGCCACTAAATACATAGACCTAGGACGTAAAGATTATTCCTCGTTCTTTCATCCACTGCCGAGCCAAACAAGCCAGACGAGCCACTAAATATATAGACCTATATAATTGTTCGTTCTTTTATCCACTGCCGAGCCAAATGAGCCACTAAATATGGGCACCTTCAAAAGTGGCCCTGAATTGTGTAGTTCCTCCCAAAATTTAGCGTCCCATGGTCCTCGACGCCTGACTCCACTGATCAATCCTGTTTTCATTTTAAAATAAACTACGGCCGACGGTTTAGGCCCCATCCAAATGACGCCGGAGGAATTTGAAAACGGAGGTTTCAATCTGAAAACGCATCAAATGTTCTGCGTCCACACTACGCCAGAGAAATTTAAAAACGCAACAATCACCGGTCATTTTGGATTTGCGTTTGAGGAAATCTCGGTCAGGGAAATCACGTGATTATCGTGAAGCTGTCGTTTTCGAAAAGCTCCGTTTTCAAAATGTTTTCCGTCCACAATAAAACGAAAACCCGGCGTCTTCAAATTCCTCCGGTTTGAAGAGCGTTTACGAAAAGCTCCGTTTTCGTAACGGATTAGTGTGGACGGTAGACCTAACCGTAGAAATAAAGCTGCGTTTCTAATTTCTCCGGCGTAGAGTGGAAACATCATGTCGAATTGATTTCTTCAATTGAGGTGTAGATAATAGAGCTAGGCCCTTGTGCAGGCAAATATTAGTTTAAAAACGAGTTCAGCTGAGCTGTAGACATGTTATAAGGTTAATCTAACTGCGAGAAAACATTTCTTTACAATGCAGTTGTAGTGTGTGGTGTCGCCGCAGTATATTTCATAAATGTACAGAGGCGATTTCAAAACACGCTTCAAAAATATTTTGCTCTCTTTAAAAATTCAATTCCATCAGCTACGTTTAAATTCATTCCAAATATTAAATAATTTTAGTTTATATTTTCTTTCTACTGTACAATTATTCAATTGTGCGCTTTTGAAAGACTTGTTAAATAGAATAAAATAGAATAAAATGGAATAAAATAAAGCAACTTTAGTCTTTATGACTGTCTTTAAGAGCCAATTTTCTACTCCGACCCAGCAGATTCACTCTCCAAGTATTCCCCACAGTATTTCGCTTGTTACATCCCCAACTCAGTCAATAATCACATTGTAACATTCAGCACTTAACAGTACTAAAACTCAGGGGATTGAGTTTAGTGCTAACCATATGAGAGCTCAGTAGACCATGGTGACGAGCCAATTAACGTGTTACACCACATGAAGTGTACCAGTGCATCGATCGCAACAATCATAAGTTACTCGAAAATTTCTGGTGGAGAACCGGCTTTGATAATCATGTCCCATGTATTGTTGAGACATTCTTTTCATTACACCTCTTAGTTGCTGTTCTTCAGCTTGGAGGTCGACATCACTGGACAAAACCTGGAAAAAATGCACGCAAAGAAATCGTGACTAAATTGAATTAAATTTTATGAGGCAAAACCTGATTTGGCAGGGTGAATACTAATCTTGGTGAGAGTGTTTTGAAAATTTCTCACTCAAAGTGCTGAGTCAAAGGGTCTCATAATCTAAGTCTCCAACCATGGCAAAGTTGCAGTGATATCTTGCACCTGACAAAGCAAAATAAACCTGAAATTTAAAACTCCAATCACCAGATCTGATCACCTCGCACAGTGCAGTAACTAGAATACTGGTGACGTGAACATTGGTGAATATTTACCATATACTACTTTTACCTGTAAAGCCAGTTTTTCAGCAGATGTTGGCTCCATCTGTAGCTGTTCCAGTGTCTCCTGTGACTCGTGTGTTAATAACAGTGATGTCTCTGCCAATGAGAAGGCTGGCAAAACATTCTGAGCGAGGTCTAGGGTCTCCTTAGCTAAAGAGCTATTTATGGAAGCCATTTCCAAGATACTCTGTTCATTTAAACCTTTGGTGTGTACTGTAGACTGGGATGAATCTTGATATTTACCACTTGTACTCTTTAACATTGAATACACGGACTGAATTAACCTGAAATTATGATATTCCGTTACCATTATTTTATAGCAAAACTTTAAAAAGTATGAGTACTAAAAAATATTTCTGCAACACTGTGGTGTTCAAAACCAGCTTAGAAGGATAAACCTACAAGCCAGAATTACACACTGGCCCTCAACATGTGTTACAAAGCCCTGTGACACATCATGTAGTCTGCAGTGTTAGCCAATAAGAATAATGCCAAGCATTGTCGGCAAAGCGGAAGCATTGGAATAGTGGTAAGCATGCTGGACTCTGGACTTAGTGAGTCCTGGCAAGGGTCATTGTGTTAAGTTCTTGGGCAAGACATTGGATGCATAAACCATACTGGTTTAACACGAATCATTCAAGTGATGAAGTTGTTTTTGTTAAATCTTCTCAGGGCTGCTTGTGCAATTTTGGTTCGCGTAACTAACACTGACATCTTAGCAGGCAAACATAATGTGCACTACTGAGTCTTGGAAAAAAATGTAGTAAGCCACCTTAAAAATGCACGTGAAGGGCTTGGACACAAAACGACATAAAAAACAAGGATATCTTTATAGTCAGCACAATCTTCCACAATTGCTCTACATTGCTCATTCGAGACTATCAAGACAATGTTAAAAAGACTGACCTCTTTGTTTGAGTGAGGTACTGTTGAAGCTGACTTCGCTCATCAAGTAATCTCTGTAAAGCACTCTGAGCCTGCCTGAATTTGGTGTAGAGGGTTACCTTCCAACTGGACAGTTCATCTGACATCATTCTAAAGTGATAAAAATATACTGTGAGTCATAATTATACCCTGTATTTTATGCCTTGTGGCTTAACTTTAACATGATGATGGCTCTTAAATTACACGGTCATGTTTAGTCATGCATCAGACGACACTTAAACTCACAACTTGCTTCTATCAGGTGTTTAATCTTATAACTACACTGTCCAGTGAATTGATGGTGGGGTAATAAGTACTGGACAAATATAACACAAGGTAACCTAGAAATAATTATATACTAGCATCCAATCAAAGGATAGTTAACAATTATTCCCCGAGTGTGCATTAGATACGAGACGGTAGATGGCCAAACAGGCATGTCGCGCTGAGTTGGTTATAATCATCTCATATCCAGCAAGCGCAAGTGGAATAACTGTTTTATTAAAAATGTCTCCAAAATATAGAAAACTAAACTAAAATGAAAATTAAAATGCCCCAAAAAATTGTGTGCAAGCCTACCATACTTCTAGAGCATGGTATAATGACTTGACATACATGTATAACATGATGGCAAAGCCAATGAAAACTCTTGAATTGCAAAACCCAATGATCCAGTTTTTAATAATAAAAATTATTCCTAAGAGAGATTCTATACAGAAACAGTAGTTAAAAGCCTGCAGTTCTATGTAAGCCACTGGGCTTATCAAGACTTTTTTCTTTGATGCTTTAGTTGCCATTTCTGTTTACAACAGCAGACTTTACCTGCTTGCAAGGAATTTTGTCCTCCATACATCACACTCAATTTCTAATCTGTCCGATTCTTCTGAGTATTCCTCGCACATCTTCTTCCAGTGATTAAGTTCCACAGTTTGTTGAACATTTCTGTTGACTAAGTCCTCCAACCTTAAGCATTTTATGACAAAGAACAAGATGACTGCACTATTAAAATGAGGCCCATTTGTTAACACACAAACTAATACATATTTTTGCCTGCAAAATTCAAGACTTTCAGTCTCCATGTTTCCTTGTCTAACCTTAGTGTAATGAGTGAAACCACACACATGATGGGAAATTTGACAAAAACAGCCACAAACTTCCTGCGCACAGCATTTGAAAAATTCTAAGACTTTTTTCAGACGTTCGTCATTAACCACATTTCAGACAGATAATCTACTCAGAAGAATTTTACATCTTTTACATTTTTCCCACTAACTCTGCATTTAAGAGAGTTCAATTTATCCTTTTATTAAACATCTGCAGAACACAAAGTTTTAAACTGATTACATGTACCTGTTGCCAATGTCTTCCCCAACTGATGCCACTAACAACCTCTTTATCTCAGCATTTACCTGTGCAAAAAGAAAAGAGTTTATAAATTTACTGAGAAATTCTATAAACAGTGTGCCACATGTAAGTCTGTTTTACGGTAGGTATCCCTTGTGGTAATATGCAGCTTGTATATTTTTGTAAAACAGGAGAATTCAGAGAAAACCTCTCACGCTAAAAAAATACAAAGGGAAAAAAAGAGAGAGGCTAAAATTTTGAAGATGTTTCTCCAGCTGGTCAAAAGCAAGAATCCAATGAGAGACATTTATTTACACAGTGTGACAACCACAATCAGATAACTATGATATCTGAACCTTCGTCTGGACACCCAGCTGCACTGAAAGTTTTGTCTTCTCTTCAACCAGCTTTGAATTGTGTTCCTCAAGATCACTGATGACTTTCTGGCTGTCAATAAACTCAGCCATCTGTTCCACTACAGTTGACTTAGAAAGACCATCTCCAAAGCCTAGATTTACTGCGGGTGGGGCTAATGAAACAAGCTGATCATTGGCACTCAGTGATAATCCCAACTGACTGTTTAACAGTGGAAGTTCAGTTCCTTGAAGAAGAAGATTTGTTGAATTCCGTCGCTGAATACTGGTAGGTTTAGTGTGTCCATCATTATTTAGCTGTTCCCTTTGTGTTCTAGTTGTAGCAGTTACGCTATCCTCCTGTAATTGACTAGCTTGAATTAATCTAGGGTAAACACTAGTTATTTCTTTTCCTTGCTGCTTTTGAACTTGAGTGTGAATGCTACTGTGGTTGGCGTTGAAGATCTTTGAATGAGCATTAGTTCTTAATCCAGTTGAAGCGTTAGTAGCATGGTTTAGTAAGGTTTGCCTTTCACCAGTAGTAGATAATAACTTGTTAATTCTTTGTGATGAGTCACTCTCTTCGCTACCCTCAGAGCTGCTTCCATCACTTGAATTGCTTGATGAAAATTCCATACCATCTCCACTAGATCGAGGCAGTTTACTATAATCCACTGAAAATTGAAAAACATTCTTCACCAGCCAGTCATGTAAAGCATGCCAAATCCATTGAATAACAACCAAGATTAATAGTTTCTTCTAAGACTTATACAAAACATATCTTAAATATCACAGTTATCCAGGGAATCTTGTAAACAGATTCATATGATAATCAACAAATAACTTGTTTGAGGCATTCCCACCTCCCAGGGCACCAGAAATTGTCAAATGCCAGGGAGGGGGGGGGGGAGGGGGGGGGGAGGGGGGGGGGGGGGGGGGGGTGAGTAAACTTGAACCACAACATCTACATTATCTACCAAAATGAAACGAACTTCCAATCTTAACACACCTAAACCATGTTCAGCATCCTTTTCTCGTCTGTGTAGCAAAGACCTACAGTAATGGAAATATATAAGAATCTGGTTTAACAAAAAATAAAATTAGAGTTGGCTTCGTCTAAGCAAGCTTAACTAAAAGTATACTATAACCCTTTAAATCGAACGAAGCTCCTAACAATTGTACTCACCTTTCCATTTCTAAGGGATGTGGCTCAAACAACTTCGCCATATTTGTAAGAGTCCGTTAGGAATATCAAAGCACCGCTGAAAACTACAACGACCAGGAAAAGTTCTTACTAAAAACAAAACAAAAAAAACAAGGACATATACTAAGTAATCTAGTACCAATCTAAACCAATTATCGAATTTTATATTGAATAAGTAATATAAGTCACTGCAAACACAAACCTAAGGAGATCTCAGGTGCTCAGTTGCAAGGTTAGGAGCGTTTACATCAACAACGTCTACGTGTACGTACGTAAAATATTGCGCAAAATTGTAAAATGAAACTGGAAATGATGTAGTTCCGGGGTGAAGGTTCGTGATCGGAGACAATTAAAACTTACAGTAAATCTACCATGATCCTGTATATCTTCTGAGCTTAAAAACTGTTAGAATGCTATAAAAGGGAACAAACTATCACAAGAATTGGAAATAGACGAATAAAATGCTGAACTCGTCACGTCCGCCATGTTTTCAGAAACAATCCCAGCGTTCAACTTGTGTTTTCAGCTGAGCACCCCTGTCGGGAGGAGAGAGTAAACTACCGACTATTTATACTACTTGACCCTTCTCCAGATTGTCAAAAAGAGAAAAGATTTTCTTTCCTGTTTAATTACATTTAAATAATCTTAAGCTTATTTTGAAGTACAAGCAATAAGTGCAAAACAGTTTTACACTTGGCAGAGTTTTCTTGCCGCATTTTGGCTAGTCTGCTTACTTACGCCTCCCGAGAAAGTAAGAACCCGCCAGACAGGTGCGGGTAAACACGCGCTTTGTTTGAAAAATGGTGCGTTACACCCGCTGGAAATTAGGTTAAAAAATTGCCTCAAATTAGCTCAATAACAGACCTGTTTCATGGCATCCAGGTACAGGGGAAATGGCAACAAGCTGCGACGGAAATCTGCAAAAGATTCGGTTGGAGAGGAACGCGAGATTTCAAATTCTTTGGACTTTGCCACGGACGGCGATGAAATCGACAGTGATTTGCCCGTTCCTAACTTTTCGTTTACAGTCGCATCTGTCGTTGTTTCCTGTGTCTCTGTACTATGTTATTTTAATTCATGCAAGGGTGGTTTTGTCTTCGATGATTCCGAAGCAATTGTGGGTAACAAGGACTTGAATCCCGACATCCCGCTTGGAAAATTATTTCTTCATGACTTCTGGGGTACGAACGTCAGTTCAAATACAAGCCACAAGAGCTATCGACCTCTCACAATATTGACATTTCGATTCAATTATTGGTTGGCAGGAGGACTTAAACCCTGGGGATTTCATCTTCTCAATGTCATGCTTCACGCTGCGGTGTCAATTCTGTGTCTGAAACTTTTTTCTATCCTTGTCGGTGGCAGAAATAAAATCACATTTTATTATGATACCGCACCAACAAGAACTCAATTTCCCGCGCCCAAGGCGAGTTTTGTTTGCGCCGTTCTGTTTGCAGCTCATCCAATTCACACAGAAAGCGTAAGTATAAATATTTCTTGAATTCTTTTAACGGTTAATTTTATTTCCTTGACCTTGGCGTGGGAAAGTTTGGTAATTTTGACAGCTGATGACTTATTTATGCTATTTTCTCCGGTGTCGAGTATTTTGCTGGCAGGTTTACTGAATTTGACTACCCAACGTTTAAATTTTTCATAGTTTCAAAGTTGGTTCATTACAGTACTTTCTTTCATTTAAAGTTGACGTTTTTCAAGTACACTAGTCTTTTCAACCAGACTAATTTCAATGTGAACTCCAACTTAATTTATTATTCTAGTAAATTATTATTTTGTGCAGTTACTTGTTCATAAAATCTCTTTGGTGAATATCAGTAGCTTGTCAATATTGATAGTTTGCACCCAATCCCCAGATATTTAAATTCCAAACATGAGGGTGGCTTGGGTTTTTTTTTATGAGCTGTAAAATGTTTTTCAACACAAACACATAATTTTTTTTTCATGGCTATTAGCCTTCTTGTGGTTGATTTAATCATATTCAGTAACAATTTCTCACAAAATTAAAATCAAACATTTTCATGAGCTATGACTGTGTGGCCATGAGGCAATTAGTTGTGCAAATAATGAAATCACTGTTTTTATTTGTTATAAAACATGACTATGCCCCCCCCCCTCTCCTACCCTCCCCCTCTCCAATTTATTTATCTAGATCTGACAAAAGTGAAAAGAAAATAGACCTTCCCTGCATTCCAGCGAACAATGGCACGGAGTCAAGGTCAGGGTGGACATAAGTACAGCAAATGTATGAAAATGTCCACCCAAACCTCACTCTGGTGCTATTGTTTGTACGTACTGAAGTGGAATGCCGGAAAGGTCTATTCTTTGCTAATATCCTCCAACATATACTTGCTAATGTTATTGAATGCAAGAGAACACTTTGTGGCTTCCAAATATTGTTCACACAATTATTATTGTATGACTGTGTAAATTACTTCATTGTGATTGACTGAGGGCAGGCCAATAATAATTATTTTATATCATTAATTTTCAGTTTGAACTGCAGTGCAAATTAACACGTGTTTGTTTTAACTTTTTTAGTCAGATAATACATGTAAATGAGTAATCATAAATGAAAACTCACAAGCAATTTGAAAATTCTTTCAAATTGCATTTGCCTTAAGGCTGTAGGCTTGCAATTTTGAGAGAACTTTCAAATGTCACTCAGAGTGTAAATTGTTAATTGGAATCACATTTACACAATTACCTATACTAATCACATTTATACGATTGCCTATACTCATCAAAGGACACGTACTAACCTGAAACAATGAGACAACCACCAGTCAACAAAATAATCAAAATGATCAAAATGAAACCACTGAACAGTGGAAATGGAAAAAACCCCACCAGATTTCTGTCACAAGGTTGCCATAGAAATATGAAGTCACATGACTTAGCAAACTACAAGTGACACCTCCAAATTTCCCCTGATTAATTGTTAGGTAAAGGCCTGAAGTTCTTCTTGGAGAATACTTTACAAAATAAGGTAATTTTGAGATTAGCATGGGCACTGACACTTTGTGTCCTTGCCCAGCACAACTATTATACTTCATATCCTATTTTAATTGTCTTCTTAGGTTTCAGGTTTGGTTGGTAGAGCCGATCTTTTGGGTGCACTCTTTTTTATTCTCTCATTTATGTGTTATGTAAGATGCTGTGATATTGGTGAGTATTTCTTCTACTTTATTAGCTATGTTAAGTTTAATAAACTGTAGATAAAGTCTGCTTATGAGCCAAGTGGCCCATCAGGCCAGAGCTTTATAATCCCAGTTTCTGCAGCATGATTTGACTAGGAATATTTCTACTCCCCCTTGGATGGAATGCTAGTCCATCACAGGGTTACCCCCAGCATTAAGTTCGCCGGTATCTATTTATACACCTGGGCAGAGAGAGGCACTGTGAGAGTGAAGTGTCTTGCCCAAGAACACAACATAATGTCCCTGGCAAGGGCTCGAACCTGGGCTGCTCTGTCTGGAGTCGGGCGCACTAACCCTTGGCCACTGCACCTACCTGTAAGTTTAGTTGTGCTTACTTTTAGCTTCAAGAACAGCCATTACATTACTTACTGTTCTGTACACCAGGTCAAGGACGTTTAAACTACACATAGTTTGTCTTATAGAACTTTGTACGTATCATGTAAATGTGTGTTGAAAATTAATGGAATGGGATTTTTCTTACCAGTATGGTGTTAATAAATACTTTCTAGTTTCATTGATTCCTTGCAAGCAGAATTTCACAGAGTGCATTTTGAATTTAGTGTTTTCCTTAAAGCTTATTTGTTTTGGCTATGGTCAGTTTCAGTCTTAACTGCTGCTGCTGAATAAAACTGGGATAAACATGGGCAGGTGTAAATTAATAGCGGTGTTTGTTATAGACTCATGTAACTTAGAGATTCCAGTTTCAAATGAGAATTCGGTGAGGTCTCTAGCTCTATAACAGCAAGGTTTTCAGTTTTTCATTCATCAGCTCATATAAACGTACCTCTGTAAGACAATGCAAAAGCCTGCATGAAAATTTTTGGCATGAAAATTTTTGGCATGAAAATTTTTGGCATGAAAATTTTTGGCATGAAAATTTCTTATGAGTCAGAATAATTATTTTGTTTTGTGCTATGTTTAGATTATGATGAGGGTGGACCTCCTGTTAAGTTGCCATGGAAACCTCTCATATTAAGCATGGTACTTTGCTGTATAGCGATGCTTTGTAAGGAACAAGGGATAACTGTTCTGGTAAATGTTCATTCTCTACTGATATTGATTAGCTTAGTGTATGGTCTGAAAACCTGGCATTCGGCATCTTGAATAAACTAATGCAAATGGTCGTAGGTATTTGGTGGTAGTGATCTACAACATAGTCCTCATTATGTATTTAAGCCAAAACATAATTATAATTACATGTACAAAATTTTGTTACCTAAAACATTGGCATAATTATCAGGGGTATCATGTTACAGTTAACCTTAACTCTAGAACAAATTTTAGTATCAATTGATTAACTTGTTGTATCTTGTCAGTCTACCATACCTCTTGTGGTTGGGGGTAACAGAATAGGTTAGATTTGGAATTTGTTTTGTCACAGCCATAGCATACATTTATAAACAAATGTCTTGCCAAAGTAGAATGAAGGGTTTCTCTCATTAACCAAGATTTTACTTCTTTTTAAATTTATTTTTAGTTGAGCAAATCTGAGAATAAAATTGTATTTAAGTGTAGTAATATCATAAGTATTAGACTAGAGTACCTTGAGCAGTTGTTCAATCCAGTGACTCTCTCCTTCTACCTTGCAGGGAATCTGTTGTGTGTATGACGTCATAGTAGTCTGTGAAATTGATCCACTGTTGCTGTTAAGAAAAATCTTTACAAAAGAGAGCAAGAATGGAGGTTTAAAAGTATGTTGCTCCAGATGTGCTTACATCAATTGCATGCAAAAACCCGTGGCCAGGAGCTAATGTGCCTAATGCAATGTTTACTCAGTATCAGTAGGCTTGCAATGTGTGAAAAGGGCTTCAGCTACATAACTCTCTGCACGCATTGCTTACCTTTGATTCTATAATCCATAAGCAGCTAGTATCATAGGACTGTAATGTGTGAAAAGGGCTTCAGTTGCATAACTCTCTGCACGCATTGCTTACCTATGGTTCTATAATCAGTAAGCAACTAGTATCATAGAACTGCAATGTGTGAAAATGGCATCAGCTACGTAACTCTCTGCATGCATTGCTTACTTATGATTCTGTAATCAGTAAGCAGCTAGTATCATAGGTCTGCAATGTGTGAAAAGGGCTTCAGCCACATAACTCTCTGTACTCATTGCTTGCCTATGATTCTATAATCAATTAGCAGCTAGTATCATAAGTCTGTATATTCCTCTGCACGCATTGCTTGCCTATAATTCTGACCAGTAACTGGCTAGAATCATAGGTCTGCAATGTGAGAAAAGAGCTTCAGCTACATAACTCTCTGCACGCATTGCTTGCCTATGATTCTATAATCAGTAACTGACTAGCATCACAGGCCTGTAATGTGTGAAAAGGGCTACAGCTATAAAGCTCTCTACACGCATTGCTTGCCTTTAATTCTAACCAGCAACTGACTCATACTTGAGGCTTGCAATGTGAGAAAAAGAGAACAACTACNGCTGTTAAGAAAAATCTTTACAAAAGAGAGCAAGAATGGAGGTTTAAAAGTATGTTGCTCCAGATGTGCTTACATCAATTGCATGCAAAAACCCGTGGCCAGGAGCTAATGTGCCTAATGCAATGTTTACTCAGTATCAGTAGGCTTGCAATGTGTGAAAAGGGCTTCAGCTACATAACTCTCTGCACACATTGCTTACCTATGATTCTATAATCCATAAGCAGCTAGTATCATAGGACTGTAATGTGTGAAAAGGGCTTCAGTTGCATAACTCTCTACACGCATTGCTTACCTATGGTTCTATAATCAGTAAGCAACTAGTATCATAGAACTGCAATGTGTAAAAACGGCGTCAGCTACATAACTCTCTGCACACATTGCTTACTTATGATTTTATAATCAGTAAGCAGCTAGCATCATAGGTCTGCAATGTGTGAAAAGGGCTTCAGCTACATAACTCTCTGCACACATTGCTTACTTATGATTCTATAATCAGAAAGCAACTAGCGTCATAGGTCAGCAATGTTTGAAAAGGGCTTCAGCTACATAACTCTCTGTACTCATTGCTTATCAGCCCTGTGATTCTATAATCAGTAAGCAGCTAGTATCATAAGTCTGCATGTTCCTCTGCACGCATTGCTTGCCTATAATTCTATAATCAGTAACTGACTAGCATCACAGGTCTGTAATGTGTGAAAAGGGCTACAGCTATAAAGCTCTCTACACGCATTGCTTGCCTTTAATTCTAACCAGCAACTGACTCATACTTGAGGCTTGCAATGTGAGAAAAAGAGAACAACTACATAGCTCTCTATGCGCATGTATTTGCCCCCTGAGCATCCCATAATAGCTATTTGAAACAATAGAATTCAAAATGGTCGCCATATCGCCAAAAAGGCCAATTTTTGCTTGCCTGTTATTCTAAACAGTAACTCACTAGCATCACGTGTGAAAAGGAAAACGGTTACATAGCTCTCTGCATGCCTTGCGTACCTGGAAAATAATTATAGTAAGCAGTAAGCAACTAGTATCATAAGCGTTATCATTCCATTATTTTTTATTATTATTGTTAACATTTTTTCTATTTTATTAATTTTTATTGATTGACGTTGTTTACAAAAATTATGATAGAAAAAAAAAAACGGCGGTATATAATAAATTACATAGGTTTTTCTATACTAAATGTAACACTAGAGTAGAGAAAATGACACTTACTTGATAGTATTCGTATATCGTTTTAGTCGGTACTGGATAAACACAATATCATTCCATTATGGGACGTGTACCGTCCTGTTCTAGAGTAGCAGTAGTACTCGTGTGAGGTCAGGACAAATGGCAACCTTATGAGCTGTCCTACTGGAAAAATAATTATTGTGAGTTATTTTTGAAATCATATCAGTTATATGCTTTGTGTTGTTGCTGCAGAAAGAAGAGCCACCTCTGTGGATAAAGCCTCTCATTCGTCGGCAAGTAGTTCTGTTTATCACTGGCATTGTTCTTCTGTTTGGTCGTTGGCATGTCATGGGCTCCTCAACTCCAGTATTTCAAGTAGTCGATAATCCTGCATCGTTTGAGAAGTCTCTTATTATGAGGGTAAGCGGTGCTCAGCTCACATAAACAAGCGTCAAAAACTGTTTCATTTTACCCTATCAATCGCAGCAGAGGCCAAATTCTCAGAAAATACCTAACCTTTGAAAAACAAACCGCCCCACCTGAACGCACTGTGTTTATGCGGTAGCTCATAAATTGTGTGGTCAGACAGAACTTAAAATCAGCCTGTACAGTATTTAAACAGTACCACCTGAAACTATTGCTCAGAAGCAAATGAGAAGTCTGATTGGTTCCCTCAACGGTCCAAATTTTGCATTACCGTCAAGGTGGGCTGCTCACCAATTAATTTCAGTGAATTGGTTATTCAAAACATTAAACGAATGAACGCCCCTATCTTTTAGTAAAAATACACATTCCTTAACTTTTGGTGGACAGCATCAGTTGAACGTTCATGAAAGCGACCTGAAAAACGAAAGTAAATTCTTACCTTTGTCGTGTGTGTTTACCGAGAATGGTCGCTGGGATTAAATTTACCAGCAGAGTTTTCAAAGAGCCATCACTATACATACTCTGTTTAACCAGCTTGTTCGGTCCGTATTGGGGAATGTTGGCCTCTTCTCTCATTTCTCTTTTTGCAAGATTATCAGAGTTTATCGGGACCTCGCCTGCAGGTGGGTCCAGAAACTTGCAAGAAAGAAAGCTCTCCACCAAGAGCGTGTTTAAAACATGAAATGGTGAACTGACGAAATGACACTACGAGTAAGAATCAATGTGGGATACAGGTGTCTGAAAGGGTTAACCCTTACAATTATTGAGTGCTAACCACTGTCGAGGCACTGATATTTAAGCTAACCTGAGCGCTGTTTAGGTAAACCACAGTGCCATTCGTCATTTCGCCATTCCTTGTTTTAAACATGCCCCTCACCAATATTAACACACTGATGAGTTAACTTTGTGTAAGTTGTATTTGCTTCTCTTCAAAGGTCATCAACTATAACTACCTATACGCCATCAATGCCTGGCTTCTAATCGTTCCACAGTGGCTTTGTTTTGATTGGTCCATGGGATGCGTGCCGTTAATCAAATCGTTCTTTGACCTGCGCATGCTCTGTGTTGCTGGTGTGTGGACAGTCTTGCTCGCACTTCTCGCTTACTGCGTGTGCGGAAAAAGTTTACAAATAAAACGGTATGGTTTAATTGTGATCATTTTGAGGTTTATTGTTGCCAGAAAGGTTGCTCACTATTTTAGTCTATAAGTAAATCTGGGTTTAGAGCGTCTTCATTTGAGTGTCGTTAAACTGAAACCAACGTAATCACTCTGACCAATCGCAAAGGACATAAACAATCCAATGAACCAATCATAACTCAAAGATAAGATACCTGTAGCTGACGCGAACGCGGGAAAACGTGTGTGAGTGAGCCACGATTCGTTTTGTTCGCGCCTTTTCTTAAACCAGCCGTTTAAAGGCTGATTTTCACTAGCGCATAACCACTGAAACATAAGGAGAAGCCGACATACGCAGATGTAGTAGGCTGTTGATAATTAGCACCTTTTGTTAGGAAAATGTTTAGCAAAAGGCGCTAATTATCAACATCTGACTACCTCTGGGTTTGCCGGCTTATGCTTTAGACTGCGAGCTGCCTCTCGTTTCCTCGAAAACCGTGGGAAAGACAACAACAACAACAACAACAACAATCTTTATTTCGTGCCCAGAAAAATTTTACAATAAAAATAAATACATGCAATGTGAAAAAATAACAATGAAAAACAGAGCACGGCCACTTAGAAATAGCTAAGGCTAATCGAGCTAAGTGGCTGGGCCAAGCAGAAAAAATATTGCAATAAAGTTACAGAATATATGAAAAAAAAACAGGACACAATTTCATTCACACACAGACACAGACACAGACACACATACAGAGAATGAAAAAGAAAAAAAATGAATGTGCACACAAAAAAATGAAAAATGAAAGTACATCAATGTACCAGTCAGTAGTTGGAGATAATCAATTCTTTTAAGAGATTTAAGAGATATCGATCCCCTAGACTTTCTTGGGTCCTCGCAGGCAAACAGCTTTATGCTTTTCCCTGTTTCTGCAGTAGAGATACAGAATGAAATTACTAGCCTAAACTCATCCAAGGCTTCTGGTCCTTTTAGCATTCCTGTATGCCTGCTAAAGCTATTAAAAACCTGCATATCATTTCCCTTGGAATTTATCTGTAATCTTTCCGTTAGTAGTGGCTGTGTGCCTGCCAAAGTGGTAGTGCATACTGCGAGCAGTCTCTTTTCCTCGAAAATCCGCGGGGAAGAACGCAAAACAAGTAACCGCGCGAGCGTGATTGTGAGCGTGACGCACGAGCGGCGATGACGCGAGCGTGACTGTGAGCGTGACGTGTGAGCGGCGAGCGGTGATGCCGCGAGCGTCGTAGCGCGTAGACGAGCGAAAAGAGAAGCCCGCGTCATCGCCGCTCGCGCGTCACGCTCACAATCACGCTCGCGCGGTTACTTGTTTTGCGTTCTTCCCCGCGGATTTTCGAGGAAAGGAGACTGCTCGCAGTATGCACTACCACTTTGGCATAACTGTAGCTCGTCCAGCCATTTTAGGGCTTCAATAAAAACGCTGTTAGTCCGTCTCCCTGAAGCACAATTCTTCACGATAACTTGCTTACATTTTTTGTTTTGTTTTAGGATCTTGACCATGGGCCTCGCCTTAGTTGTTGTTCCGTTCCTTCCAGCATCGAATATCTTCTTCACTGTTGGTTTTGTTGTGGCAGAAAGAGTGCTGTATCTCTCCAGTATTGGGTCTTGTATCATCACTGTACTCGGGTTTATTTTACTGAGCAAAAAGCGCTTGGGAAAGAAGGTGAGCGATATTCTTATTGGCCAAAAGTTTCCTTCTATTTTGCAAGTTCGTCTTTTGCTGAGATTAATGGGCCGCAAAAGTAGCTCTCCCCGCCATGGCGACTCCGATCCGTCGTTCGTTCTTATCGCTAATTTTTACTAATCTGTTAAATGTAAGAGTTAATGTAACTGGTAACTTTCTGAAATGCCAATGTGTTTTTTTCTGTTCCTTTAGGTATTAGGATTCGGTATCGGTTTGCTTATAGCTTTGTACATGGCTCGAACAATACAGGTAAGAAACGAGAAATGACGGACCTTGCCGACACTATCGGTCGACATGTCGGCAGGTAGTCAGTCAATATGTCAACCGAAACTCGGCGTACATGTCGAGTGCATCGGTTGCCTTTCGACCGACACGCATGTCAGCCGATACTCGGTCGACAAGCGGCCGATACTTAAACGACACGTGGCCTATATTCTACCGTCACTTGGTCGGCTCAGTTGTTACTGAGTTCTATTTTCTCTATTCAAATATTAAATTATTTTCTCTATTCGAATTGCCCTCGTTTACGTTACGTCCCAGCACCGGCTAGAGTTGGCCGATACTCGGCCCACAGATGCCTTAAATACACAAGATCCTAAACGAGAAACATTTTTAACAGTTCATCAAAACTGTCAACCTGCTCCCTTCTTTTTCACAGACGACTTTCGTTTAAAGTGAACTAAAACTAATATTTTACATATGTTTGTTTTTTCTTTAGAGATCATCTGAATGGATAGATGAAGACACTCTATTCACTTCCGGGATGTTCGTTTGTCCGCTCAATGCTAAGGTAACGGGAACATCTAACCTTTGATACAAATTACGTTATAGATCCGCTGTTAATGACTCAAAGGTTTGTTGCGTCTACGTAGGTACTAGGTAATGATAGTAACGAAGAAATTTGATTGTGGGTTTTGATGAACTCGTATGATGGCGTTCGCCATGGTAAGGAAGTTTTGCTCTAAGTTTGGAGGGTCGGCTTTTTTCGAAGGAAGCAGGTTGCTAATTGTGGTAACTGTGCCGCAGATAATGATGTATAAGCTACAGCTGGGCTGTTTTCTCACAATATAAATGAAGAGAATTAATGTTCAAGCGCGAGTTTGTAAATAGAACAGGTGGAACAATACACAAATCAGTTATAATTGCAATTGCTTTCACTTTAACAGGTTCATTACAACATTGGTAAAGTACGAGGTGAAAAGGGACAAGTAGAAGTTGCCGAGAAATTTTATAGAGAAGCAATCAGGTACACATGTGTTAAGTATAGCAATATAATATACGTTCATTTATTTGGATCCTATGGATTAGTTTGGAGTCTACGTCCAGTTTTTGTAGCATGAAAATTGTTTGCACAGACACTGAATACCAGTACGGCTATCGCGGAATATCACCCCATTTGTCCCAGGTAACAATTCGCTGGTAGCAATTTATAATATATCGGTGGAGAGAGATACCATGAGTCGAGTAAAGTGTCTTGAACAACGACTCCGGTCATGGCTTCAACCTGGCTTTTCAGACCCGACCATGTCTTAGACTACTAGTTTTTTAGAATGTTTGTCTATTCTTAATGTGTTTCTTTGTTTTTCTTCTGTATTGAGCAGGTTAAATCCAACATATGACCAAGCTTTGAATAATCTTGGAAACCTCATAAAGGTAGAGTTTGAATCTTATTTCATAGAACGGTTTTCATTTGAGTGTCGTAAAACCAAAACCAAAGGAATCACTCTATCCAATCACAAAGGACGCAGACAATGCAGTGAACCAATCAAAACTCGAAGTAATTACATGTAGCTGACGCAAAACCCGGGAAAACGCGGGCGAACGAGTCACGATTGGTTTTGGTTTTGCTTCTGATTGGATGAAAAAATGGCGCGAGTTTTTAAAGCCAATCGTGTTGCGTAGTTGATGTGAAACCAGTTCCTTTTCGACACTCAAATGAAAACCGCTCTAACTGCTACTGATCCTAGACGTCTGTTAAAATGGCTTTTTTTATGCCGTTTCACGCACCGTTGGTTTCAGCAGCGGATTCAAAGAAAGCGATCACATGATGACAAATATCTCTCGGCGCGGATGGCCAAAGTTTGCAGCACGGCTGTTGCAAATTTCTCAAAAGTACCAAGTTCGAGGAAAACTCTTATCCATGCGATGGATTTTCCCTCTGTCGACCTCTTCTCTGTAACACATCTTGGATCGTATCTTGCTAGAAAGTGCGAAACTCAACAAACTTGCAAGCAAACTGTGAAGCACTTCCCCGACGGCAGAGATTCACTCATCACACGATCATGAAATTCGTCATCACGTGATCACTTTTGTTTGAGTCCGTAAATGAAACCAACGGTGCGTGCAGTGGCCTGAAAGAAAGCCATTTCAACAGAAGTCTGGGATCAATAGTATATTATTTTCATTGCCTTTTGGCCTTCGAGGAGAAGGGGAAGCGTGTGCAACCCTTTGGCCGCCATATTTAAAAATAATTCTGTTTGTCTATCTGTCTGTCTCCGTCTGTCCGACAGTCTGTCTGTCTATCTGTCTGTCTGTCTGTCCGACAGTCTGTCTGTCTGCCTGTCTTTCTGCCTGTCTGCCTCTCTGTCTGTCCGTCTGTTTGTCTGCGATAACGCAGTTGCTTCTTTCTCGAGAACTTTCTTTGCGCACGTGATATTTCTGATTGGACAAAATCCATCGTGAATTGTTCCTGTACTTATATGAAGATGTGTGTGTGTTTCTAATTGGAAGAAGTCCGTCGGATAAGTCCGTCTGGTGTACATTTACGAGAATTGTTTTTTTTTCCACGACTGCGTTGTGTTGTAGTTGAAGTCAATCAGTAGACATAAGTTGTTTGTTCAATTGATAGGACAATGGAAGATATAAAGAAGCAGAGGTACTTTTAGAAAGAGCCGTGGAAATAAGGTATGCTAATTATTGCTAAGTTCCTAGGACTCCATACTCTGTTTCTGGTCACCTGACCGTTCGTCTCGGTTACCTCCACGAAACAGAAAGACCGCGATGACCTGGGTGAAGGCCGACAGGTTTTACAAACGCTTAAAATTTTCTGACTGGCCTTGTAGTCTGTAGTTTCTTTACATGATTTTAGCGAGGCTAAAGTGAAAGAGCTTAGGTTTTCTTTCTTTCTTTTAAAAGGATAACGTCATTTGGATCATTGTGACTGTTATATCGTTAATATTTTAACTGATGATGTTTTGTGAACAGTAATACATTTGCCGCTGGCTGGATGAACTTAGGAACTGTCAAGGCTGCACTCCATAAAAGTGACGTGAGTAGAAAAACAAATCAACTGATTGTAATGACGTGATCATGCAGTAAGCTTTTGCGTGACCTTTATGGTATTCGCTACCGTGACCTATTATATTAAAGAAGACTTATCGTAGCTGCTGCTGTGACTTTTATTGTTCCTGACTTGACTTAAAGTTCCTAGCGTGACTTATTATTGTACCTCTTAGCGTGAACTTTTGCCATGACTTGTCGTGTTTCCAATTCTCCTAGAGTGACTAATTGCTGCTCCTAGCTCCTCCAGTAGTTCCTAGCGTGGTGCATTATAGCTCCTGTACAGTGGCCATAGTAACTCCTATCGCATTGTATTGTAGATGTAGATCCTAGTGTGACTTATTTCAGCGCAGCCAATCTGCCCCCGACGTGACATGTTGTAACTGCAAGCGTCAGTTATCGCAGCGTTCTGTGCGACTTAGTATGGCTCTTAGTGTGACCGATTACTTAAAACAACCGATTTTGGCAACGCACTTTGTCCTCACTGATCATTTTTTTGTTAGGAAGCGGAAAAATGCTACATCAACGCCATACAACACAGACGAGTATACCCAGACGCTTTCTTCAACCTTGGAAATCTGGTAAGAACTCGTTGACCTCGCTCACTAATAAAAACAATAAACAGGACACTCAAGTCATGTTAACGACTTTCCTTTCAGTACATTGACCAACGGAGACACAAAGAAGCCATTGCAGCGTTTAAAGCAGCTGTCAATTTAAAGAACGATCACGTGGGAGCGTGGATGAATCATGCGCTGCTTCTTGAAAAGTCAGGTACGCGTTTAAGAAGAATTTTTCTCAAGGCTTTTACGAAGCTGGCTGTTACAGAAACAAAAACGATGGTAGAATCGAAGCGCAAATATGTAATCCATGGCAAAGTGCTGCAAAACATGTTGGCGACGCTGAGCGCGAGAAAATATGTAATTAGTGACAAGCGCGGGAAAATTTCACCCGCGCAAAGCGCAGGAAATGCAAGCGCAAGAAAATATTTACAGCGGTTAAATGGAAAAACTCAACGCCATCTTCGGTTTTCCTGATCTGGAAGTTTGTAAGAGTCTGAAGCGAAAATTTGCAAGACTTGTTTGAAAATTTGAGACGTTACCGATGAGTGACAATTTTGGCGGGAACGGTGACGCTGTGGAGGTGACAAGCCCACCTCGTTCCCAGGGTCTGTCTTCTTGCCCGAGAATAACAGAGATCATGGGAACGAGGCTGGTGGCAAGCCCTTTCGTGCGGGAAAAGAGGCACCGGAAAAGATGTAACTGAAGGGAAGCCTAAGGACAGTTGCTTGAGCAACCATGTTTGGTTTGGGTTTTGACAAAACGTTTCAAATTAGCATTTTACAATTGTGAACATCATTTGCTGAGGGACACGCCCCTCTCGAAAATACGAAACTGCTAAAAGTTTCTTAATGCGAGTTGCTCTCGTAGGTCTGAACAAATTTTGTTTTCTGTTGTTTTTTCTTGTTTGTTCTTTTATTGACAAAGTGCGAAGTCCTTGATCGTCTTTATTTTTACTACTAGGTGACAGAGATGAAGCAATTGCTGTGCTCATGGCAGCCAAGAAGTACATCCCGGATGAATCCTTACTTTACTTCAACCTCGGTAACATGCTTGGACAGAAGGAAGAATTCCAGGTGCGCAGGTTTTGATGGAATTTATATATACATTATATCTCACGAAGTTTCCTTCTGTTAGTTTCTTTTACGGAGTTAGTGGAAGGGGCTTCACTTTTACCATTTGATTGATCTATCGCACAAGAATAACCACCTTTGAATTTAAAAAATTCTTTGTGTTTTGCAGGAAGCTGAAAATCATTTCTTAATTGCGTTGGAATTAAACCCTAACTCTGCAGAAATTCATGGAAATCTGGGTAAGAACACAGTCCTTAACCTCGGTTACAATTGTATATTAGGGCTTAGGCAAAGCGTGAAAATTTACTTCTCAGACTCATCGATTTTGACGATTTTACTTCTCCGTTTGCTCCTTAGTTTTTCTCTCGATTGAGAAGATATATCAAACACTCGAGACAGTGTTTCATCGGCTATCCAAACACCCCGAATCCCATAAAAAATACTCCGCTGCGCGTCGTATTTTGAACTCTCTTCTCGGAGTTTAGATATCCCGATGAGACAGTGTCTCTCGTGCTTGATACATTACTTCTAAATGTCTGAATTGTTCTGTTTGTTTGTTTGTTTGTTTTTTTCTTTTTCTTCTTTTTTTTTTTAACAGGGGTGCTATATCATAGATGGGGTAAACACGACCAAGCTTCAAAATACTATAAGAAGGCGCTAAAACTGGATCCTCGGAGCGAAAACGTTTACGACAACCTACAGAAACTCCAAAGAACGAAACGGCTGTTAGGCAACGGAAAACCCAAAGGAAAATAACGGCAACAGGAAAATCCTTTACCACGTTGTATAGTTTGTACGCATTTGAACGAATTTACCGTAACTTTTTACAAAATTTGTTTCGCAAAGAGTTGGATTCCTTCACAGCAGTTATTTCGGCGGTCACGTAACTTTTGTACCCAATGTCACGCAATGCTTCACAGTTGGGTACAGGACTTGCGTGACCAATTAGTTACTGCCGCGAGAGGGAGTTAGTTTGCTCAGTATTTTAAATTTCTTGGCATGAAATGCTATTTTATTTAAATGTTCTGTCAAATAAAACGAGATGAGCAGTTTAATTAATAGTCTTGCATTGTTTGATTAATAAACTATTCATGATGCTATCAGCCAACCAGAACACTCCTCTCCCTGGTAAGGTAGTCCGTTTTTTGGGATGTCACGGAAAGGGGAGAGTTGCGTGACATCCAAAAAAACGGTTGCGGAGGAGACTATGGTAAGGTGAATGAGTTAAGAAACCCAGGGCGCTTTCCAGTCACCTAAAAATTCCGACAATTTCAAAACATGGACAAATGGTATGGAAATTTCCTGAGAAAGGGCGCTTTCCATTCGACCAAAGATTCCGAAATTTTCGAAACTGGGACAAATGGTTCGGAAATTTCCAGGGAAAAGTTCCAGAAAATCCGGAAATTGTTGAATTTCCGAAAAGAGAACTATTCAACCGAAAATTCCGAAAATTCTGGGAGAAAAGTTAAATGCAACGGAGAGAAATTTCCGAAAATCTCGGTGTACTTCGGTTGTGTTCTTTTCCGGAAATTTGGAAAAGTGCCGCTCCATTCGTCAGTGGAAATTTCCGAAAATTCAAAGCAGAATTTTCAAAGCGCGGAAATAGCTTGCAGAAGAAGCAGGTTAGCGGGGCAAATCTGTCTCTCCTGCAGGCTAAATGGAAAAGGGCCTTACATGTTTTTCAGCAAATTTAAAGCACATTAGAAAATGTTTCTTAATTTACACTTCGTCTCGGGAAACATCAAGGGAAAAAAGGGATCAGTTATTTATCATTAAAAGTGTATAATATATTAGCCTTATATTCATGCTTTATGCGTCCACTTGCTACCACCCCCACCCCTGGACATGTCCCCAGGGATTGGACATTTTTTTTTCTTACTCGGCGGCCTATTCCCTGCACCCATGCACGAAAAAGAAGACAATTCCCAAGCCCCGGGACTCCTATCTGCCACAACTATGTCTGTTTAAACATGTGCAAAACATGGCGGCAACATTGGTGGTTGTTCAGTTTTTCATGCGTTTGTCCTTTTTTTTTCTGACAATGAATCTCGTCATAACCTTGTGAAAGTAGCTTTGGATCGACCCCGGACCGCTCGATCCGGAGTCGAGAGCACTTACCATGGGCCCGTTTCTCGAAAGCCCCGGAAACTTTTCGGGCCCGTAAAGCCATTTTTAGTTCATTTGTATCTAAAAACGGAGAGGTGTATACCCCTGAAACTACCTGTATGAAGAGAACTTCTGTTCATATTAAGAATATGTGACTAAAACAGCTCAGTGATCATAAGGTTTGAGATTTTGCTATGGCTTTCCGGGTGCGAAAACTTTTCGGGACCTTCGAGAAACGGGCCCAATGTGGCCACCGTGTTTCCCATGTGAGGCGACTCAAATGATTAAGTTGATTCTGACGTGGAACCTAATGGCGTCAAACTTAATTTTCAGATTCACCTAAAAATTTTGAGGTAGAATATAATTTATATTATGTATCTGCAGTATTATGTATGATTATTGTATGTCTTGTGTTTGTAGCCGATATAAAACGAGCTCTGATTGGCAAATTCTAAGGCATTATTCTCCCGTAATGCCCACGATTCAGTTATGGGACCGTAAAAGCAAAGCAAAAAGCCATACAATAAACAAGTTATTAACGTCGAACGTCCGAACTTTATGGGAAAATCTCAACCCTCGGCCTTGCCTTGCCAAGGTCTTGCCTTGCCTTGCCTCGGCCTTGCCTCGCCGAGGTCTCGGTTTGAGATTTTGCTCATGAAGACCTCGCGCTCGATTAATAGGTAGTTATGAGTCCAAGTCGAATTTGTGCCGTTCTATTATACTTAATATCAGGCTCGGCGCATGTAAAACTCGATGTTTAAACTGGGCTTAATGCTGGCTAACCCTCCAGTTCCTCCTATAAGTGTCGGTTCTCGGTATTGGCCTTAACAATTCGTGGCCTCTGGAACGAGATTGGTCAAGTCCAGCTGGGCAAATGCACACAGTCCAAGAACTGGAGTCGAAAGGGGAATTAAAAACAACCCCAAGCTGTTAATCGACAGCATTACGCACAGCATCATGCGTTTTAGACGGATCAATGAGCCACTGGCTACATGTGATCCGGGTAATGATCAATTTGGGTCTTGAATCACAAATTAAGTAAAATCTTTGCATTAGGTAGTATGCGTTTTTTCATGTTCTATGACCTGCTACTGCCATTCGCACCTTTTGTCTGGACCGTCGATGCTTTAACTGGGACCAATAACTCTGTTCTGGGTCTTTCTTTTGGGCCTTGGGTCTTTCCGCTTCGAAATGCTCGAGATTAGCAAATTTCACGTTGGAAATACTTATATCGTTTCTGGATTTCGATCTTGACTAATATTCCTAATTAGATGTGGTGCAACAACAGGCTTCTTAGCATCTTCCACACTTTGAGGATTGTTTTCTCTCGCTTTATTTTGCTTGCCACTATCAGCATGGATTGCTGCAGTGGTTGCCACGATAAAAATTGGTTGTTGCAACTTTAAGCCATTCAACTAAGGAGCTGCTGCATTTATCAACTGGGGAGCAGACGACGACTTCTTCAATATGGCTTCACTTGGTGTTCTATTAGCAGAGTCTAAAACCAGCGGGAGATTGCAGGATCCCGATAGTGCTACACGCGGAGAAGGTTTTTCCACGTTGTCCAGCTCTGCCGACCCAAACAGATCCCTTTGCCTGGGAAATGGAACGGCAGGAACTGTTGGCTGGATTGTTTGAGGCTTCTTTATGTGTAAAAGCTCGCGAATAGCATTCCTGAAATGGCTGTCTCTATAACAATAAAGCAGAGGATTAAATAGAGAGTTCAACTGCGTCACTGCCTCTGTGAGCCGGTAAGCGAGATATCCAGGCAAGCCTGGAACAGCGCTTCGCAAAATGGCACAAAGAGGAAATAGGATAAAGGAGAATATTGCTACAGCAGTTAGCAAGCCAGTCGTCTTGGCAACTTTGGATTCAAGCTTCACATTCACGAGAACGGCGACTCCAGCTTTGCGGATTTGGTCTATTTTATGTTGGCGCATTCCGAGATATACCTTAAGATAAAAATATGTTATGAGTATCAAAAGGGTTACTACCACACAAGTCCACATCATAAACAAGCCTATCACAATTTTACGATCCCCACCGGTTACGATGGTTATAAAGATTGGAAGCGCTGCGAGGAGAGCTGAGAGCCAGGCGGCTATCGCCAGTTTTTTGAGGCGGCCATTTGTGATGGTAAACTTGTAGTCCATCCATTTTTGTATCGCAACGTACCTCTCCCAAGCAATAATCGTCAAGTGATTTAAGGTAGCCAGGAAGGCAAACAGCATTAAGTTAGGATTCACCAAGAGTAACATGCATGTATGATCAAACGAAACTTGACGCGCTACTAAGAAATTAACAGTGACAGATAACGGCATTACTATAGCACCAATTAGAAGATCTGTAACAGCCAGGCTTGATAACATAATTCTTGAGGGCCTTTGTAGCTCTTTCTTTTGCTTTATGGCTACGATCACCATCGCGTTCAAAAGAATGGTAGGGGGTGAAGCAATGAGTATGAAAACGGCTATAATCCATGGAAAAGTGGAGGTATTTGAGTCCCACGTTAGGTCAGGTGCGTACTGGCAATAAAGTGTTGCGTTGGAAGAGCTGATGGTTGCTTTGGTGTTGTTTAGGTGCATGTTGCTATGGTATGAAGAATGAATCTCTTTTGGAGACCTGAAGTGGCCGTAAAATTACCCGCCGCCTCTGTCGCTTAAGGAACAAAGAATCTTCAGTTTTGAAGTCGCTCTGTGCCTTTAATCCTATAATGTACAAGGTTATAGCACGTATGAGTATTTTTCTGCAAGTATACTTATGCCGCCATCCGACTGGCTGAGCTGTCGCACACTTATCAACCATTAGTGTTTGGTGGCTGTGGAAACACTCGCCTGTCGGTTTGTGTTGCCACAGCATTTCTCGTTCTCCGAAACTTCCTCTCGTGTTTCAATAACTCGATAGAGATATGCGCGGTACATGTTTTCTATTTCTTAAATAATAACTATGAAACGCAATTCAAGGCGTCATGTCATTATTATGACGTTGCCTTAAGTTCAAAAATACGCTCAGAAAACTTGCAGTTGAGGTCAACATTGGAGACCGTTTGATTTGAGTTTTGAATGACAGGAGCGTTGGTGACTGTGAAAGTTTCTGTCTTCTGTGATTGGTGATTCTCAAAATCAATTTGATATAGTGTCGGAGAAACTTTGTAGCTTCGATACAGTTGGCCGTGTGCTGTAGTGGGCTATGTTACTAAATTATAAAAATGAAATTACAATGTCATACAATGGTGCCGAGGTTTGTCCTGTTTTCAATAGCTGTTTCGTTCATTAAAAGTTGTTCGTTTCGCTCATGTAAGTTCATTAAGGTCGAGGAATAAGACACATGCTCATCAAAGCTTACCACATCAGCATGAGATTTAATCATTTTCAGGTCACTTGCCAGCAAACAAATGCACATCTCCTGGTCATTTTGAACGCCTGGAAGACTCAAATGCTCCTGAAATTCAGCCTTCAAGTTGGCCATAGTACTAATTCGAA